GTGCATGGCATCGTGCCTTAATGCAAGCTGCTGGAACTTCACGCACCGTAATTAAAAATTCGAGTAATAAAAATAATCAATAACTGTTTTAAATAATTTCAAATAGATTATCTTTTATATATATAAAAATAAGTCCGGTTTTCCTTCCTGACAAAATAACTCCAGAACGCACGAACCGATTTCGACAATTTTGCATTCGTTGGAAAGGTCTCGGGCTCCGCAAGGTTTATAGCTAAGAAAATTAGTTGTGCATGGCGTCGTGCCTTAATGCAAGCTGCTGGAACTTTACGCACCGTAATTAAAAATTCGAGTAATGACATTAGTGAGAATTATCAGAATTATGCTTGGTTAAGTCAACGAGCAATTCTTGCCGCAAAGAATAATGATGTACACGAACTGAATTTCACCATACAATCAAAAATTGCTGGCGATTTGGTGACATACCGAAGATTCTGACTGGTCTTCCGTTTGACTTCAAACAATTGCAATATCCAGTTCGCCTTGCGTTCGCAATAACATGTCGCAAGGCCAATTGCTTAGTGTTTGCGGGATAAATTTCAAATAGATTATTTAAAAAATCATTGTTTTTCACATGGGCAGTTATACGTTACCTGTTCACAAGTTGGAAAACCATCCGCTTTGTTTGTGTTAACGTCAGACCAAAAAACAAAAAATGTGGTTTACCAAAGATCACTTCCATAAATGGATAATTTGCGGGTTCACTTTCATTTACTTAGAGAAGTTCAACTAAAAAACACTTCATTTTTGTAATCAAAATAAATTCGTTACTGTTGTATAATAAAATCAAATTTCTTCTTTTAAAATATAAAACAAACAAAAAATTTCTTCATCTTTCTCACGAAACTATCTGGTGGCGAAACGAAGTTCGTCGGGTTTGCTAGTTTTATATAAAATTAGTAAGATTTGGTTTAAGTTAATATAGTTTGAATTTAATGCTGACAATTTTTATATTGGTAAAGATAGGTAGTTCTGTATATACGCAACGGCTGGACTTGTTAAAATCACAAAAATTGTGTTCCATTAGATTAAATTAAACCCCTCGAAGCAAAAACATAAAAATAAATATTTGTTATTTGTTTAAAACTAGTAAATATAACAAACCCCAAAAAATAATTTAAAATGTCTGTCACTGCTCCAGCTTTCATGAGAATGCGAATTGTTCGAAATGTTCTACTAACAGAGTTCCCGTGATCAGAATGAACACAGCAAAAGTCCTTTGAACATAAACGACACGTGTGTGGCATAAAAATGGTAATGTTAAGATATTGAAACGGTTCTAGAAATTGAAAACTTCTATAGGAGGACGTAATACATTATGCTGTATGTACTATTAACTATGTAGCATCTTTGTACCGCAATACAAAATTTGTTTTTGTTTCCAGATGGTTTCTGAGAAAATTTTATGTAGTTTTCCCGTAGAGCAGCGTTCGGGGAACCGGGGTAAATTACCACAAATGGAGTAAAAATGAAATATTTGCGGTTGAAATGGTTATATTTTTAAGTAATATTGACTGTATTTGCTATGAAGTTATCTGTATGGGGGTAATCTCTCTTCGACAAACTTAGACAAACATATTTTGGGATAATGATTAAAAAAGTTTTCCGACTCCTGCCGTCGAGTATGCGATTGAAAACGTGATAAATGCACAAGAGAATATTTTGAACTCTTTACGTTTCAAGACCACTTTGAAATATCTCAGAAGCATAGAAGATGGTATGGGTGTAAAAGTAAATTTAATAGAAATCGTATCGTATTAATTGCTTTTCGGTAAAGGTAGATGATCATGTCACTTTGTGGTATTTAACAGATTATATATATATATATATATATATATATATATATATACGAGTATATATTATTCGACAGTGACATGGACTTTTAACGGAGAGTTCTAGCAATTTGACTCAATATAAGGCGAAAATCCACATGCCGCTAGTTCAAATCGTTTGTGGAAATTGAAGTGGAAAAAGAATATTATTGATTCAAAGATATTATTGAGTTTTTTTTCAACATTTTTATAATTAATTCACTATATTTTTAATGACAAAATATTGGATTTTCTGAAAACCTTAGAGATTGGAAAAAAATTTAATTATGAGTGCATCATTTAAAACTATTGATACACTTTGAGTGTCTACTAAAAACGAAGATATAATTATTATTTTCACGAAAAGTTATTCTTATATTGGTAGTAAAATAATTATACCGTATAGCCATTGATTACATTTATATAATAAAGTGAATATATTACTATATAATAGTATGAAGTCAAGATATATTTTTTTAAAATTATAGTTGAGATGGTTGAAAAATTATAATAATCACAATAGTTTGAACACTAATAATTGATTGGGTAAAAGTATTACATTATTTCATTAATATATGGTGGCTGTGGCAAGCGATAACTCGTAAAATATCGATCAAACAAGTTTAAATTTAAACTTGGTGTCAAGATTTAATGCTGAATTAAATTTTGTTTTTCCTCAATACCTTTTTTTAAACATTTCTAACATTTCTAATATTTCGTTTCCAACATTTCTAATATTTCGTTATATAATCCACTCATTTTTTTGAATATATTGTCATATTTTATATGTTTTTTTTGTTTTCTATTACTATTTGGATTCTTTGTTCGAGGCTCTACAATATATATATATATATATATATATATATATATATATATAATATTTTTCTATACGCCACATCATCAGTAGATATGATAATAGGATAATAATAATAATAATACATATTTGATGTTATTCATTTTTAATATATATATATCAAATTAGAAAATTTAATGAAAGTTATCGAACTTAAAAGAAATAAAAACAATATTTATTTTGTAGAAACTTACACTATACTAAAACATTCAAATTTAATTAATCTCACCAGTAAGTAAAATCAATTATCGGTTTCATAGAATAATTTCTAATCGTAAATATTTTATGAAGTGTTATTGATTTTCCGTAGTAAGCTTGGTTGTTTTTACTGTCTCAACATTTACAATATATATATATATATATATATATATATATATATATATATATAGTATTATAAATTCCTATGCTGTCAGCAAAACGAATAAAAGTAAAAACAGTATAATTATTTATTTGTACTGGTTTTGACACCAAATGTATTGATGTTTTTGTCTAAATATATTTATATATATATATATATATATATATATATATGATGAACTAGTATTAAAAAAATAGTCATTGTGGAAAAAACATAGATTACTAAATCACCACAATACACCTATTTCCCATTATACACAGAAAATAGGTTCCATAAAAAATCGTGTATATGAAAAAACCGTGCTAAACAAAAATCACTATGAAAAAGCTCTTTGTCAGTTATTAATATGATAATTAACAAACACATTAAGCAAAAAATAAATATTAATATATTTTATATCAAACAAATTGTAGATTCATCAAAATATATTTTTTTCTATAAATTATAGATTTTGTAAAAAATAATTCTTTTATTTGCTCACCTTGAATAAATTCATGCTATCAATTATATAAACATTAATTAAAAACAAACTTTAAAAACGATGATATGATGCTCTTTGTTTTGGTATTTCAACCAAACTAGCATACACACATATAAAATTTAGTTTTAATCATAAATAGGGGAGTTTCTATTTTATTTACATATCAATTTCCATCATAGATATGTACAGATATGGACTACTAATAATTCGTAACAGTTACATATATTTTGTAGTGTTGTACATGGTCTGTTCAAAAAGTACCCGGAATTACTAATAATTAAATTTCGCGGGTCTGGAGTGTCTGATTGTCAAAATTTTTTTTTATTGTGTTGGTATACATGCCCCTAAAGTATGATGAAATTTTCAGCTATATTCACTGTTTACTTTGTCTGTGGTAGTCGCTAAGGTTCGACGTGTTTTTCTGAGCTCGGCGATTTTTACAATAGAAGAATTGAAAAAGTCAAAGAATTTGTATTAAATTTTGCGTAAAAAATGAAATAAAGTGTTGCAAAGTGCAAAAATTCACCAGATATGGCTCCGTGTGACTTTTTCCTATTCCCAAAGTTGAAGAGACCCATGAAAGGACGGCGGTTTTCCTCGATTGAAGAAAATCGCCGAGAGTGCTCAAGGACATATCAAAAAGTGAATATCAAGGGTGCTTCGAAAATTGGAAAAAACGCTGGCATAAGTGTATTATATCTGGGGGGGACTACTTTGAAGGGGACCACATTAATGTAGACGAATAAATAAATATTTTTTTGAAAAACGAAAATTACGAAAACTTTTTGAACAGACCTCGTATATTGACAGTAAAACAATTAAAATGTTAATGTAGATATAAGCAAATTATAGAATATTTTCAATTTTGTGTAAATCCTATTAATAAATTTCGTTGATTTTTTTTTCAAAAACTGTGTAAAACGGTGGATAGGCATACTGCAAACTTAATCATGGAAATAAATGATATGCGACTAGAGTTTAATGTTTTTATATCAAATTAAGAGATTTAAGTGAAACGTTATATGTAAATATATATGGAGTTTATGTAAATTACTTTCCCGCATACTAATGTGTAAAAAATATGCAATGCAGTGGCTAAGGAAATGGCAAATTACTAAATTCCGTTTAGTAGTTTAGATTGTATGGAATTGTATCAGAACTTACCACAGTGAAATATTAAAGGCCTATGATATGTGGTTCAATTAAAAAATTAATTAAAGTTTGCATATCCGCAGCGCGCATCAGTAATCAGTTAAGCAAACCACTTATTTAAAAAATCATTTAGGTGAAGTTAAACGGACTTTACGAATAAATATTAAATATGATCAATCTATTCAATACGAAATTTACATTTTCTAAATACGTGATAAGGAATATAAATAAACTAATATTGTATTTGTCTATTTAAAATTGAGTGAGGAGCGAGATAAATAAGTTCCATTGATTTTTCTTAATAAGTTTCTTAGTTAGTTTACTAACCTGAAACGCCTCATCAGTCAGCATTGAACTTTCCAAGAATACAGTTTTATTTCCAGCCGCACATCCATAGCTGCAAAAAAGTTTATATATATGTGTACTCATTATATATATATATATATATATATATATATATATATTTTCAATTAATAAGTCCTGGATTTTGCTTCTCAATTTTATATAAAACCTTTTTTAGTTAATTTTATTACTCTTTACACTGGTACATAATCCATTCCTTTATAATTTTTCTAAATAATCTGTAATGACCATCATTAATTAATGTTAATCAATAGTTTTAAAAAACATTGTCTTTGACAGAATAAACCTGATGATAGAACGTATCTAGTTCCGAAACGTCGTTATTAAACATCTTCGAAAAACAAATTATTTTTTATTATTGGATTAACTGTTCGGCACAGAAACAATCCATAAGTATATCCATATATATATATATATATATATATATATATATATATATATATATATAAATATATATAAGAATAATTAGATGTTAATATAACATAACATTTATACGATAACAGTTAATAACATTTATATCTTTAGTTTAACAACATTTATACCTTTTATTAAAAGAAGGTGTGGAATATATATCTAAATATCTCAAAGGCTATTATTCATATAACAAATGTTTTGAAGAAAAAATTATTAGTCATGAAGTTTTCCCTGCATGTATAAATATATTCATAATCTCTTATACGAGGCACCCCGCCTGATTGATAATATAATATGTTAATAATAAAAAAAGTTTTTCCCACACATTAAGTTAGTATAAACTTCCCGGAAGATAAGTTTATGTATTTATCAAAAAATCTGATTCGCTAATTTTATGTTTTCTCGACGTTTCAAGCCATTCTTAATCGAACGAAACCGATTTTAAAAAAGTATGTGTGTGTGTGTGTGAACAGATTTTTACCTTAACTAAACAAAAACCGTTCGAAAGGTATTGTCTGGGAATCAACTTGATTAGTTTTTGGTAAAGATTCGCTGGCACAATTTTTTTTTAATTTTTATAACTTATTTTTCATACTAAAATATTACGGCTCTATGACAAGTCGTTTAATTTTAAAAAATTGTCAAAGTTTGGAAAAATTAGACCTTTCATCGACGTTTTCTCAAAAACGCCTGAACCGATATCAAAAATTTAACTAGCTGTAAGTGGAATTCTGTCTTAAGGCAATTAAGGCATCGTGCCTTAAGGCAAATTGCTGGAACTTCCCGTATCAAAAATTATTATTTTTTTAAAAACGATTAACATTTTTGAAAAAAATTTACTTTGAAAAAATAAGATTTTTGAGAAACTATAAATTGGACAAAAAATTACTTTTTTTGAAAAAAAATTTTTTTTTTAAAAAAAAATTTTTTTTATTTTTTTTTTTTTTGAAAAATTTTTTTTTCTTTATTTTGACATATTGTGGAAGATCTGAATTTTCTTTTCAAAGCAATCGTACTGCTTTAACTGCATAGGGACAAAATATAAAGCGCGTAAGCCCCGCGTCGCTGTCTAACGCATAAGCATTGGTACGGAACCCATAGGAATGTTAACAAAATGTATACTTATTGTTAAAATCTCTATAAAATATCTGATAATTTGATGTGCATATGTCTAATGATCATTTTTGACCGCCAAATGGCTCAGTTTTTTACTTTTTCCTCCATATCTCCGAAACCGCTAGATCTACCTTCATGAAAATTTTATCGATTCTTCACCTTGTCAATACAAGTGAAATGTTTTTTGAATTATTTAAATCGGACGCTCCGTTCTCTTAAAAACTGAGGTACCGTTTTCGGCACTTTTTGCCCCGTATCTTCGGAACGGCTAGATCTGCCTTCGCCAAAAACTAATCAGCACGTCTCCTTATCAATACAAATCGAATGTTTTTTGAATTATTCAAATCGGTTGATCCGTGTTCCCGAAATCGTCGACGAAAATTTGTATCCGCACATACATACACACACACACACACACACACACATACATCCATTTTTTCTAAGGTATGCCAAAATGTTCAGAAACCTCTGAAACGTAAAGATATATAAAAATTTTCATTTTTGATTTTTTTGCGATTACGGGAAGTTAAAAATCATTCAGTTAAAACTTGAGGACTATCGCTTCTCTCTTTTGACCGAAGATCGGCCTAGTCGTTTCTTTACAATTAGCAGAAAAATGAAATATTTTCCGTTCACCTTTTATCCAATATTTCTGAATCACATTTAAAAATTCAAAAACTATTCGAATAAGATTATTTGGACTCATTAATTTTGGATATGAATCGGCCAAACCGTTTCTTCGTAATTAACTGTTGAAATTTTTTTGGTGGAACTTTTTATTTTGATAGATATCATGATCCTAAAGAACATACAAATATACGGCCCTATGGCAAGCAGTTTAGTTTTAAAAATTCAACAAAGTTTGAAAAAATATTCTTGTCAAAAGTTGCTTTTTTGATTTAATAAGTCAAACATTGTCAATTCATTAAAATTTGTAACAATAAACTACAAATTTAGGACATATAAAGGACTTTGTTTTTGAAATAAATAGTCGTAAATTTTATCTAAATATCTAAAACTATTTCCGTTGATTAAGTGAATTATAACACATTTCGGGAAGTTTATGCAACTTGCCTTCAGGATAATGCCACTTTCAACTAGTTTTTAACATATTTAAAGATCGTTAAATAATTACAACAAAGTATATAACTAATAACTAACTTTTTATGTTTCATTTTTAATATGTGCTTGTACAATATATGCTGATCAAAAAATCTCTTTGAAATATAAAATTTATGATTTATTATAAAAAATTTAAAATGCATGTCATGAAAATGGGTATGCAAAAATTGTTGCAAATGAAAAAATTTATAATCA